AATACACATGTTCCACTGTCATATTGTCATATTCTCTTTAGAGAATTGAACAAGCTTCGCCAATTCCATTTTGTTGAGGCAAAGTTCTTACAGTGTTTATTCGCTTTAAATAGCAATTTATGCAGATTTGTTTATTTAAAAGGTATTCATTTTTTAAGCTAAATTCAGTTGTATTCATCATCAGTATGACCACATTATTGAATTTGGTGCTTATCATATTGCGCCATTCCAGCGTTTGGCCACAGAATGCAAAAACGTTGGGTAACTTTAAATACCTACGTTGCTATTAATAGCCATATAGGCAGAAATAGTCTTTGGACTTAATCTGAATAAACACTGCCATGTAGTAGTGATAATAAGTCATGTTTTCTAAACGATGCATATCTTCAAGTCCATTTTCGTGAAAGATGTACTTAGCTTAAATCACATAATGTCATAAAGTTTGTTCCTAAATTGATAACTACGTGTATATATATACAGATATATTAGACCGTCTATGTGTTTATTAATAAAAGAACAAGGACGTAAGAACCTATTATAAAGACGTACACAATGTAAATCCATGCAATCATTAGGTTATTAGTATTGTGTACGAGGGCTGTTCGGAAATTATTTGAGACATTTACTTTTACTTCATAAAGGACAGAGATAAATTCAGGAAAATTCGTCAACAATTTATAAAGAACGAACAAAAAAATAATACATAAATTCTAATTTGTAGGACAATTGATTAAGTTCCGGTGAAATAATAAACATACATATGTCTATCGATCTGGAGCAGCATTGCTACGTAATTTAAACGTCATATCAGCCTGTGATGTTCTCGTAAGTGAAACGATCGGGAAGCATTTACTCTCCTGTCTTTGTTATCATATATACCTTATAAAAATTAAGCTGTCTATTTTCTTTAGAAAAAAAGTGTGCTGTTGGTGCACTTGTGTACATTTTTCATGCGTCATTTACACAGGATTTACACAGGATGATAAAGTATATTGCAGTGCCGATTTATGCAACGCGGGTCAACGTTCTTAATTCCGTATGGTAAAAATCGATGGTTGTCCCGAGCGTTTGATTTTATTCTGGTTAAATTGTAGGCTAGAAATACGTATGTACATATGAATTTACAAACATGTTTTTCCCGTTGTAATTGTTTTAGCAAGTTGGTCGTATATACATTAATTACAGTGTTTCTCAAAAAGTTCCGGATTTCAACCGGGGAAACGCTCGGTACTAAAAACCGATATTAAAAAATATATTTCCGGAAAAAAAATTTAGAGAAAAACATTTGTGCTGACTTTGAGTTCAGGTTATACTATGAATTTGTGCATTTTTATCAGTGTTGTAAAGGAAAACTAAACTGTCTTTTCCGGTTTCCGCACTGCTCTGAATTAACACAAGGACAGATAATAAATCATTATGGTGCAGGATGAGGACTACAATTGTATTAAAAATATTTCTTTTATATTCTATTTTTATTGTAACTACTTTTTCCAAAGAAAATAAATTATTTATAGTTTTTATTTTTTGTTTTATTTCAAACTTCCAATTTGATATTGATATATTTATTTTTCATAAGATCCTTAAGATCCTCAACCAGGAAGGATAACTTTTAAGTTTATATATGATTTTGATTGAAAGAGATAAAGTTGAAGCTTTAAATTAAATCTTTTTATGCAACAATTTTGATTTATACCTCTCAATGTACTTCAAGGTTCTTTGAAATTCTCAGAAAGGTCTTTAAAAAAGTCAATATTGTTACTTTAAAAAGTTTTTTTTTTATTAATTTACATTTTTTTTTTAAATTGAGATTTATTTTAATCTAACCAAAGATAACAATGTTTGTTAGCATGATATGAAATTAGAAAGGTTAAGTAGTGTTTTACAATGATTGGAAAATCTTGATACACTAAACATCGTAAAATGATCAAAGTACAATGTAAACAGCACAAATTAAAGTACTTTTTTTGTTTAAAAAAAATTGCAATTTCTTTTAAAGCCTTTACAACTGTGATTTTCATTTCTAAAATGTGTTTGTAGATTTAATTTGAATTGGACAATGCAAAGTAGGTGTTTTTGTTTGCATTTCCTGAAAATTCATTAGAGATTTACTAATTTCCCTATAAAATATGATTAACGTTACAGGTGAACTTTAAGCATATAGGGTTTAGCACAAATATATTATCTGAACATTTCAAACTTAAATAAAATTTATAGCATAATCAATTTTACTTATAGGTAGTGAAAGTAAAATGAAAAAAAAAGTTTATTAAATCAAAATGTATTTTATCAGTGTCTCAAATTCGGTTTCTTTATAATTGAAAAAAAGTACTTTAATTTTATGAAGTATTATTATCTTGTTTAGACAAATTGGATTTTGTTGTTGTTACAATGTACTAAATTTTGGTAAATCATTTTTTGTAATGAAATTGATTCGAATAATAGGCCAATCAAGCCCACCGATAGTAAGTGATAAAATTTGAACGGAAATGCAACAGTATTATTAAGATTTTTGACCAAGAGCAATAAAATTGGGAACTTTGAAGAAGATAAATAAAAGAGCTTAGGGCTAGAACTCCTGTGGTGTAGTGCTGGGGACTGAGCCCATAAAATTAATAATGAATTTTAACCTACATTTGAGGGTGGTGTCATGTTGGGGTTCAAAGTTCAATGGACAGACCTACGGACAAACCGTAGGTGGTATGTAATGGTGAGAGAACAAATGAAATGCAATTTTATATCCGGGATCATGGATACCCTATGAGCATAAAATACCCTGTTTTGCCAAAAAAACGACATTCTCAAATTCTCATTTCAGGTTCTCAAATTCTCATTTCAAGTTCTCAAATTTTCAATTCTCTTTCTCATTATTACATTCGCATTTTATGTTATTTTTTGGAATCATTTTTGTGGAATTTTATTAATTTTTTTTTTGGGGGGGGGAGTTCACTCTTCAGTTCTTTCTGTTTTTATCATCAAAATAAACGGTGTATTATTCAGATCAAAACTATACAATCACTTTGCATTCATTTAATAAACATGGAAATAAATACAAGTTTCGTCATTGGCTTGCAAGTTTGAAAAATTGTCGTGGGTAAAACACATTACTTTAAGAATTAAGAGACAGTTTTGCGAGCATTTTCAATAAGTCAATGCCTAATTTTCAAAACCTGAGGATCGGAGTACCCAATTCTACTTTTAAAATAATCTTGGATACATTTATTTTTAAAATTGAATTGTGCGGATATAGAGGCGCTTCAATTTGGCGAAAAAATATCCCTAACTGCTCAATGGCCCTGAGTGCTGAGTTTAGATAAATAGTATAGGTATAAATTTGCAGCCCTCAACAGTCTCCGTATGAGTAACAAATTCTTCATAAGGAGTGATAAATTATAAAGACGGACATAGATTAAAAAAACCAATCTAAAATGTCGGAAATATCAAGTATGTTGATTATGAAACTAATACGATTGTAATTTTTGATTTACAAAGTTATAATTCTAGATTTTAAAAACGATTACCCTCTATAACTGGGTTAGTCATCACTTATTTGTCATCTATTTGACCGCCTTTACACTATAAATTGGGATGGGTACGTCAAATAGAAAGAAGACAAATAAGTCGTGACAGTCTTTGTATTTATGTATTTTTTATAAGTACTAATAAATTAAAAACTCACGAACACAAAAATTATCGCTATTTCTGGTTTAGAATTGCCTTGGCCGTTTTCAATATATTGATATAGAAATATTATCTAAATAATTTTAAAGGCAGTGGAATTGAGTATTATTTTCCTTGCTGTCTAACCTTTTCTATTTCTCCAAGGAACAGTTGACAAATACAATGTATATAATGAACAGGTCCTACGCGTATCTTTACATTTCATATTCATATGTATATTATATTCATATGTTTACATTTCATATTCATACAAAAGACTCGCATTACCATTTGAAAATCTCATGCACGCGGAACTTGTTTGAATAGAAAGATATCTTTTTTTTTTAAGTGAATCAGTGTAACATTGATTTGCTCTCTTACATACAATTCTTAATTAACCATATCACACTCGTAAAATAAGTTCAATATCCAATTAAAATGTCCAATTTTCTCTTTATATCAATTTTGACAGCTGGGTATATAAAACAATTCATATTTAATTCAATACATTTTTGTTAACAGGTAAAGAAGATGATGCAAGCCGAAGTTTTGTCTGCTGTCGTGTATCAAATAGTTAAAACAATAAATTGTGGACAGAGGTATATAACAGATCTCAAGTATGTCACTAATGAAAGTCTGTGTGTTTCTGTTGTAAATACGAAAGACATTCGTTCTTCTAATAAGTTCGGCAATGGTTCTTTTCGATGTCTTTCTACTCAAGCCTCCTATTTATGTTATATGAGATGTGGTTATGAGTATTTCATATTTTGGGAACACGGATATTTGAAATGTCTGAGAACTAGGCCTAATGGTTCTTCACAAGAGCCTGAGCCTTTTGAAAATTGGAATAATTATGCTAACCCATGGAAAGGATACGAACCGAATGGAATCGCAGCCTGCAAATCAGGAGGAATTTTGGTTTGTCTGTGGAATAAACAAGTACTTGGTCACTCTCAAGGTAAAGTTATCAAGCTGTCTCTGAATAAAGAGACACTTTTAGAAATAGAGACAGACAAAAATCGACTCCTTTTTATTTGTCCTACCTACAGTACCTGGCCATAAGTGAGTCATAATTTTATTTTTACACTATATATTTCATTGAAAAACCTATTTTCATAAAAACTTGTTGTGAAGTCAATTCTAGCTCAATTTTCATGATTTTTTCACTGAAACATGCAGAATTATTCAAATTTTCTTATCTTAAATGATAAACAAAATGATACTTAAGCTATTGAGAATAAATCATAAAATATTGTCATGACAAAATTTTCTAACCTCAAATTACTATGATTTCTTAACAAATTGAAGTCTTAAAATTTTTGTTTTGCACTTGACCTGTGATTTCACGGTAATGCATAAAGATAAAACTATTTTGAAATAATGTGAAGAAACTACAACAAATTCTGCATTTTATGGTATTTTAGACATTAAAAAGAAACAATAAATGACACTGCAAGAATATTTTAGAAAAATGTGTTTCCTAATGAAATATATAGTGGAAAAATAAAATTATGACTCACTTATGGCCAAGTACTGTACATAACTGAAAACGGCAATGAAGACATCTGCGTCTCTGATGTGAATGCTGTGGTCGTCACTGACGCCGGGGGATTACTGAGGTTTCGATACAAAGGTCTGTCAGATGATTCTCAGTTTGATCCCTACGGTATCTGCAGTGATTCACAAAACAACATCATTATTGCGGACATGAAGAAAAACAGAATTCACTTGATTGATCAGAATGGGGAATTTCTTCACTACATTCAGTACAAAGATATGAACATGCCACGTGCTCTCTGTATAGATGAAGACAACAACTTGTATGTCGGAGAATGGACGTCTGAGAAAATCAAAGTCCTCTCACGTCAATGATATGACCCCCACCACCCACCACCACCCCGAAAAAAATCACAAGACTGGTGGATGGTATCAATGTATTGTATTCTGTGTATATTTTGATATGTATAGATGTCTTGAGCTTTTTTGTGCATTATTTATTAGTTATAAGTAACTATACGATAGTTTCAAATTGCAAATATGATTAATGAACATTTTATTTTTTTTTTCTAGCAGTGTTCTGTTATTCATTCTTTTTCTTTTTTTTATAAAATAATCTTCAGCTTATATTTCTTTTGCCATGTTCTCTTTATTTTGCTTTGAATTAAAGTTGAACCAAACATACATCTTCTATGTTTATTTTTAGGACACATGATACATTTTTTTAGGAGGAGACTGAACTTATAATTATCTCACAAGTTGATAAAAATGAAAAATACGAGGGTTGTCCCAAAAAGTCGTAGACAATATTTATAATTTTTTAAACATGCAACCAATACTTACCAAATTTTGCATAGACATAAAATATTCGATGTTCTTTAAAATTGTGAATTTTTAAATATGTATCTTTGATATTAATAATTTTAGGACGATTTATATGAAGGCCGATATGGCCTGTCGGCGCACGAACAAAGTTCGGAATAATTTTCGCATATAACTATTACATTTGCTATTATTTCTTTAGAACTATGTAATACATTGAACTCAATTTTACATCACTGAAACCAGAATCAAAATCTTAATTAAATGCCAAAATTTCATTTAAATACCTTTAAAAACAGACGATTGGTGTAATGATTTTCATAGTTTCGTTGGAATTGAGTTTGATGAAAATGACGTCGTCAAACGCGTAACCGGCGCACGGAGATGTAATAAATTGTGTTGCATATGCTTTATTTACACCATAGATGGGAAAAAGAGTAAGGAAGTGACATTACACACCAGATTTTAATTTTAAAAAAGCTTATTTTTAAATGGCACGATATTCAATGAGAGTTTTTCCTCTCTATCGAAAATAGTTACGGCGTGTAAAAAGAAGGGTACTATTTGTTAAACGCAGACAATTTGGAACAATCTGGACGCGAACGACGTCAAACAATGTGTATTCTCTCCTGCCTACAATATAAGACGATCTTTCCACTAAATTTCGACTGAAATTTGAATCTGCTTTTTAAAAAATATTTAAAACAAATGGACAATGGTGAATTTAAATAAATTCCTTAGTCACTTTTAAAAAAAAAACATTGAATGTTGATAGACGCGAGTGAAACAGACAAAAAGATCATGACGTTATAAGAGACGTTATTTACGTTTGCTTTCGTGCGCCGGTGTACACTTATATGCTTTCTTTATATCATGTGATATCATCATGAAACTTGAAATGCATGATCATAAAATGTTACATTTTGCTATGACAAGGAAAGAAATTTAATTAAGCAAAGAGAAACTAAACTGTTTTCCCTGTCTACGACTTTTTGGGACAACCCTCGTACTTTGAATATTTCAATTCCTTATTAGTCTTTGAAAATAAAATAGACTTGAAAAATATTACTTCATATTAAAAAAAATAACAAATCTTATTTTTTCGCCAACCTGATAAATGATCATGCACATGGCGTTTGCGATCAATATATGTATAGTAGGCTTAAGCTTACGACCGGTCAACTGGGAATGCTGATTCCACTTAGGCATTTGATCCCACCTGTGATTCCCAGGGGTCAGAAAAAAAATAAACACGAATCATAGAGAATTTATGATGGGGGTTTCTAAGGAGCACCATCATGAACCATTTATGATACTTAAGAATGCTTATTCTAGACGAACCTGTTGAAATACCTTTAATATTAACTTACATGTCAGTACAAGTGGCATGCTTTGATTGATAAACAGAGAAGGTTAAATGAAAGTCATCAATAGCTAATCTGTAATGGGGCTTGTGCGATTGATGGAATGTACATGTATATTTCTATCAAAGCTTCATGGATACTGCTTGAATAAGAAGGAGACTACTACACATGTAATTGATTCTGAAGGACAGATGTTTGCGACCTCCTTTATATCTTTAGAGACAAATATGGATTTTCCAGAAAGGATGCAAGATGCCAAGTCAACATTTTTATACCCGTACTTTCTAAAGTTTATTTTTGTTACTCATGACAAATGACATTTATTAATGCAAAAAACGTCTTTCCCGAAATCCTTCTGCATTATACAAAGTAGCCTAATAATCTTTAAAGAAATGGTTGGTGGTGTTATGAAGATGTGCAGTAAGGTTTGGAATTTTCATTTTGTCCCGGTGGATTAAATGAGGGTCGAAAAATGAAGTTTTTTATGCAAAAAGACCCTTCTTCCCTAAGCTCCTCCGACATTTTACACAGTGGCCTAATCGTCTTTTGGGAGAGTTCACTCTTTTGAAATTTAGTAAAACATCAAGGTCAAGGAGTAAAATATCTTAGCATGTTGGGAAACATCTTGTTATGGGTTTTGAATCTTTTTGGACGCTTCTGGTGTTTAAATCTTAAACGTAATATCACCTTTATATATAAACTACAGTGGCCTAAACACCTAATTTAAATGTTAAAAATAATTTTAGACTGTTTTTACAATAACAAATTTCATGCTTTTTGTCCTTACTGTTTTCCAAATACAGATAATTTAAAGTTTCAGGTTCCTGCTTTTGATTGAACATTATGCATGTATGAGAGGAACTAAAATCGTAAGAATGAATGTAAAATCAGACTGGATGAACAACAACTACATGTTTAAACAAGATGTTTTTGTAAAACACTATGCGCCCGACAGCAACAAAGTAAGAAAAAGCTATTGACATTGGTGTCAGTTGAAAGAGGCTTATTAGTGGAGTATGCATACCAAATATGAAGTCTTTATCACCTATTGTTCAAAAGTTATGGCAAAAAGCTCGAAAAAGCCATTTTTAGCATATTGGTCACAGTCAAGATCACAATGTCAATGACCTTGGTGTCATTTGAAAGACGTTATTCGTGGAGTATGCATACCAAATATGAAGTCTCTATCTCTCACTGTTAAAAAATTATGGCTAATGTTAAAATTGACAAACAGCTAGACAAACAGACAGTCAGGACGAAAACAAAATACGCCCCGAATCTATCGATTCGAGCTCGTAAAAATACAAGATCTATATTTTCCACATCTTATTAATTCTGTATTGCACAAGTATTTACAAACGTTTCAAGGTATCAACCAATTCATGTATGAAAAAATATTTTAAATCTATCCTAGCAAAAAATCAATGGTTAACTTTAGTTAACTATAGTTTACTATAGTTAACTATAGTTTACTATAGTTAACTATAGTTTACTATAGTTAACTATAGTTTACTATAGTTAACTATAGTTTACTATAGTTAACTATAGTTTACTATAGTTAACTATAGTTTACTATAGTTAACTATAGTTTACTATAGTTAACTATAGTTTACTATAGTTAACTATAGTTTACTATAGTTAACTATAGTTTACTATTGTTTATTATAGTTAACTATAGTTAACTATAGTTTATTATAGTTAACTATAGTTTACTATAGCTAACTATAGTTTACTATAGTTAACTATAGTTTACTATAGTTAACTATAGTTTACTATAGTTAACTATAGTTAACACTACTTAAGTAGAGTAAATCAAATTGTCAAAGTGTTCGCCAAAGTTTTTCAAAATGTCAAAGTTTTCGTCAAAGTTTTTCAAAGTGTCAATGTTTTCGCCAAAGCTTTTTAAAGTGTCAAAGTTTTCGCCAAAGTATTTTAAAGTGTCAAAGTTTTTGCCAAGGTTTTTCAAAGTGTTTAAATGTTTTACCAAAGTTTTTCAATGTGTCAAAGTTTTCGCCAAAGTTTTTCAAAGTATCAAAGTTTCACTCAAGTTTTTTTAAAGTGTTAAAGTTTTCGCTAAAGTTTTTCAAAGTGTCAAAGTTCTTGATAAAGTTTTTCAAAGTTTCAAAGTTATCACTATAATAAATCAAAGTTTTCAAAGTGTCAAAGTTATAACTATAGATAACTTTAGTAAACTGTAGTTAACTATAGAATTTTTTGATAGGGTAAGGCACACTATTCTACGTGTTTGAACACAGTGCTCTAGTTAGTTAAAACATGCTACCTATAAGTCACGTAACGGAATTTTGTTTTCACAAAATTATCTAAGCAATGATATCATGTGATGAATTATAATATCCAAAATGTTACACCCTTGGTTACAACAGAGAGAGAGAGTGAGTGTAAGAAGAAGGAATGTTTTCTTTTTTAAACCATGAACGCATGTCTTTCTATTATTCTACTTTTAACGCATTACTAATGTAATTATAGAACTACTGGTAAAAAGCGAACAAAAGACAAACATGTGCTGACTATGTATTAAGTCAAGAAAAAAGTAGGCGTCCGCATTATCTTACGGAGATTGAAAAAATCCGATCCTGCCTTAGAATTAAAGCAGAATCGGACATCGGAAATACAAAGTAGTATTTCTTGTAATCAAGAAAATTTGCTGATTAGATGTTGATCTTTCCTGCAATAAAAGAAAAAAAATAAATGTCTATTTTGAAAGTTTATTTTGACGGGAATTTCGCAAATCATTAAGTGCAGTAATACTTTGTAAATGTCATATGTCTAGCGTTTTTTGACTATATTTTTATACCTCGCCCTTTGGGTTCCCTAAAAATAATGCTTTCCAGGTAGGTAATACATACAGTAAATATTGCATGTGGTTAAGTGTTACAGTTAAATATTTTACCCTAAGAAATCCATTGACAACCGAGACTCATTCAAGGTTGACAATGGTTTTCAAGAGGTGATTTTTTTTCTCAATTATTCATTTAACTTAATGCAATATTTATTATATTACACTAAATGTTATAACAGTAAACTGTGTACGCAAAAATTCTGGGCACTCAGTTATTTTTATAACACCCGTTCTCAAGCAATATTGACTGTTGCTGCGCTTGAAGGCGAGGCTTCATTATTTAGCGGGTAACAGTGTCTTTTACATTTGTTTCCCGACGAATCAGATTCAGCTAA